AATTTTGATAGCATTTCAGGACGGCACCGGGATGAAGAAGCCTGATCTTGTTAAAAGTAAACCTCTCAGAACGCTGACCAAGTTACCTGTTTTCAAAGGGGCACACTTTGATCACGAAGCCCACCTGATGTCCCAATACAGGGCAGGATGAAAACTGCCCTTTGTGGAAGCTCCTGTGCAAAGGCTCCACATGATCCAAGGTACAACCAAGCAAAAGCAACTCCATGGCTCTGACCCTGGGGTGATCCAGTGATCAGAAACAACATCAGCTGATATTCCAGCGTACGGGTTGAAGCAGTCTACACCATCATCCCTCCTACGGTGTACAATTTTGATAAAAACCACATACCTCGTATCACCATCTCTATGTGAATAACTAAACTGAGCTGAAACAAAACTGCACTGAGAAGTTTGGCTTCTGCAGCTATGTACTCTAGATTGCCCTGTTGTAGGTTTGTTGGTAAGTACACATGGTCTAACTAAGCTTTTAGGGGACAGCGGCTTCATATGAAGCTACAGTTTTCACTGGAAGCTGCTAGTTTTTTATTTACAGTTAGTACTTAGGAGCTATGTTCATGCAGAATTTAATGGTGAAATCAAGCTACAGGTGAACCTATGGATTTATTCGTTCTGGAATTTTCCCTTCACTCCACTCACTCCCTATTTCTTTATGGTTTTTCCACCATTTATTTTATAGGAAGTAACTGCCACTTCAATAGATTATTATATTCTCTTTTATAGAACATAAAAATACAGGCTACATCGGAGTTATTGTCCCTCCTCCTCATGGTCTACTCTTGGTAAAAATGCAGGGCATGCTTCTGAGACAGGTTATGAACGTGTCTTGGCTTGAAAACAAAGTTGGTACCTCTCAGCAGGGATCATTTAAAGCTTTAAAACATATTTTAATTTGACTCGGCTATCTTTCATTATAAAAGCTTCTAGTTATCTTGAAACATAATAACATTGACTGAGAACTGCAAAGAATTTTTCAAAGAATGAAAGCCTAGAGAGAGAGTAGCCAAAGGTGCAAATGACTTATTTTGTATTAATAATATAGTATTACCGTTAATAAAAAGGTAAAATAAAATAGTGCTTATACCGTGCATCTTTCTCCATTTAAATCTGCAACAGTAGCATTGCTCACTGGTCTGATTCTGTGGCACGCTGAGGGCTTCCCGCAAAACGCTGAGCTGAAATTCTTTGTGATTATCTGAAATCTTATCTGGAGCTTGCTCAAAGAAGCAAGCTATGTGAAAAGCATACCTGAACTTCTTAAATGACAAACTAAAATCTTATACACATAGATTATGCATATTGACCACTACATTATCATAACATAACTGTCTAAAAATCCTTTTGATAGCTTGTTGATGACTTGACTTCATGTAATTTAACTGACCCTTATTTGCTAAGGTATTGTGTAAGCCAGGGTTTGGCAGGGAGCCAAAAAAAAAAAAGGGGAAAGGACAGACAGAAATCAGATTAAACTGTAAATCTGTGGTTGGCATAGGCTTAGCAAGCGGTGCAGAACATATGGAATGCAGAATCCAGTGCTATTTCTTGGAAAAACTAGTATTAAACTAAGGACAAATGCCTGAGCCAAACAAACTACAACATCTTTTTCAGTTCCTGAATACAAAATATGACAGAGAATTAGAAAAAAAGTGTTCCACTGCTAAGTACCACTTTGTAACTGATATAATAAGAAGTACACTTGCTGTTTTAGTTTATTACTCATATTGCAACTGAAGATGAAAGTTAATGTTCTTCAGTAAAAAAACCCAAAACCCTATGTCCTTAAATTGACAGTCCTGTCTACCTTAATTGCAGCAAGAGGGGGGGGAAAAGTTACTAAAATCCAGAAGATTAGAATGAGACTAGGAAATACAGTAAGTGCAAATCTACCTTGTCAAACTCCTCTCAGTATTACACACCGTTATTAATAAAATGCATTACTTTAACTAATTCTATACATTTGAGCATTCATCATCCTCAGTTTATTACTTCTGTAACTCTGCAATTTAAGGATGTCGAGCAACGTCCCTCCATCACATGTCCCATAACCTACATCATTGCATGCCCACACGGACCTCATCAAGTAGCCAAAGAGTTGCCCTTTCACTGTAAGCAAGTGACTAATACCTAAGCTGGCTCTAAAGAAAGACACTTTTCATAATCGCCCAACAATCTGCTAAGTGAAAACATATGGATAGGCTTAGGTAAAGCCTGCCAGGGGTCTTTACTGAATGGAAAACAGGTGCTCCAGTTCTGTGCCATGTAATACCCCATTTACTGTTAAGTCCAAAGGTTACAGGACTAATAGCTGCCTTGTGGTAATCAGAGAAAGCAAAGACACTGGCCATGGTCAAACATCTGGGACATATTTTACATACTTGCAACATATGCTTCAATTTCAATTAAAGTGAGGCTTTGGCACATTTATTAATGTTTTTACTTTTATCACATAAGAAGACCCATTTACCTGACTTTTCTATTGTACAGTACAAAAACCCAGAGAAATAATAAAAGCCAGAGGCCACTACCAGCTGGTGTTACAAAATGTGCATTTGCTTCCTCACAAAACTTCATTTTGCACTTGAGTTTAAGAAAACACATATATGAATTAAAGTAATATAAAACTGCACCCTTCCATTTTGACAAAAAGATGTAAGAGGAACAGCAGTAGTTAGCAGAATATGCCTAGTGCAGCAGAAAAAAAAAAAAACCCACATGCTACCAGCTTCTAACAGCAAAGTCAGTCCTAACTATGCATTTATGTTTTATGGTTTAGCCTCGTGCAAAATAATGCCCACTGCGAAGAGTACTGAACATACATGGTAGTCTATATGTGCTTATTTTTAAAAAGTGTAATTTTCTTTTCCATTCAAACAGCATATGCAATCACGAGAATTCAAAATGTTTGCAATAATGAAGACAGCTTTGAATTTATAAAAATCAACCTAAACACCTTCTGTATAGAAAGACAGCTCTTAAATATTCAATAAAAGGGCTCACGGTATGTCACACAGTAATGTCAGCACTCACTTTTATTCAACCTTGGTAACTAGATCTAGAAAAATGTTTGAACTCTGGTGTCAATCTGAGAAAGCTGAATATTAGATCACAACACTGAAACCTAGAGTGATATTTCTAATTGGGTATGTTTTGCCTGGCATCTGCTGATCGCCAGAGAATTGGGGGAGATGGGGGGGGGGGCTGCCCCCCTCCTATCTTCCCTTTTAATCGAGTTTGTTTAGCAATTTCCAAAAACCACCGAGCGGTAACTACATAGGCTGCCTTGAACTACAAGCAGTCAAGCACTATTCTTTGTGAACTAATCACAGTGATTAAAATATCCAGGAACACACACACTACTGGGATGATACTTTTGCACCAGCTCTAATAATAAAGTAGGAAGAAACAGGAGAAAATGGCTTCAAATGGATGGCAGATCAGTGTTTATCAGAAAAGAAATGATGATTCAAAGCCAGCATGTTGAGTTAAAATACAAGCTCTCCACAGCTACATGACTGACCTTTGCAATAAATCATATATTTTATTGCCAGAAGTGTATGCTCATATCATTTAGCGTTAAAAACCATCATGTACGTGTTTTATAAAAGAAGGTTTTGTTACTACACTGTTTGTCGACTCTGAAATGATGTAGCTAATGATTTAAGTGATGTATAGAAGAATTTCACATAATAACTTTCTGTCAATTGTTAAATGTTTGAGCTGGCAATGGAATAAGGCAAATACTCTTTTTTTAATAATCTCTCAGATCTTAGGTGTTAGCTAACAGAAAAATAATCATTCAGGGGATTAACTAATCATGGTGAATTTTCTGACATTTCAAATGCTACTGCCAGCAGATGAATTCTTACAGTGGTATATAACTGTACATCTCAACTAGAAACAAAGGTCAAGGGCATAAATTAAGACACACTGTTTTTCTCCTCTCGAAAAAAAGAATTCATTGCTTTACTACAACAGAAGTGGGGGAACATCTGTGAAGGTCAAAATCATCTGTATTTTAATTCAGCGTTCTTGTAAAATTATCTATTTTTTTTCCCCTTTTCTTCCACAAATACCACCCTCCTGGTATGAAAATACCAGCCACAACGGGGCTGTGCTCACTGCGCTGTCCCGCCAGCGCTAGCCATTGCTTCAGTGGTGCAAGGTCATTCTAATTTCTTTTCTCTGGTTTTTCCCTCTCCCTGGGGGACAACCAATCCAAGCAGTCCCATAGCTTGGCTCAATAAGATGTGGAAATGAGCTGTTATTTACTGTGGTTGCAATCCTCAACCCAACCAGCAGCCTCCAAACCGAACCGCGTTTGCTCAAATAGCTTGAACAATCTGCAACAGTTTCCCTGCTTGCTGGGCCACAATGCCAACTTCAAATCAAGTGGACGTCTATGAGAATTGTGATTATTTAAATGTCATACAGAGTGCAAAACATTTCAGCCATTCTTCTACCGAGTAATTCCTTGAAAATTATAGACGTCAATATCCCATCTTTAACCAGTATGGAGTTGCTATTTCTACACCATTTTTCCCCTAAAGTGTAGACCTATTTGTAATACTCAAGACAGGACAAATTTTTGCCCTTCAAAAACAGTTGTCACTGCAGTTATCTTCACAAGAGCTATCAAGTTCCAGACAGGCTGAATTATTTTTGTTCCTGGCAGAAAAAATATCTGACCCAGCTCTGGACCAAGAGAAAAAAAAAAAAAAAAAAAAAAAAAAAAAAAAGGATTTATAGTCCCCTATTCTTTTCTGC